TTTTTTGTTTGTGAGTCCCAAAGGATCAATGGGATTAACATGTATAAATAAAGGTTGAATGACCAAAAAAATTCTTATTTGTTGGTTTAATAAATTTCACTTATTTTATTGCTGCGCTTTAAAAACATCCATCCATCCATTATCTTTACCCGTTTATTCCATTTTGGGTCACGGGGGTCGCTGGTGCCCATGTCCAGCAATCGCTTTAAAAACATATACAACAAAAAAACTTTTTCTTTCTTCTAAAAGTAGTAACTTTGGCTTTTAGGAATCCAATATCATGGTTTTGGTTGATGTGAAATAATTTAATTATTAACACGAATACATGAATGCCATTATTAGTATTATTGCAAATATAAATTCATATATTAAAACGGCTGTCTGCACAAGATAAACATTTTTTATTTACATAATCTAACACTTAACTTTATTATAACTTTAGTAATCTAACAGTTAACCTGCAATAATGTTATGAATGTGCGTTGGTATGAGCTTGGAGTCCACAAGTTGCAGCTCAGATTCATCTTTTGCCTCTTATTTCTGTTCTCAAATGTTCAAACAGTGACAGCAAAAAAACAAACAAACTCAAGATATGTAAAGAACAGTCCACAAACCAGAGTGTGATGCAACATCAACAAAACTTTTATTTAAAGCCTATGATATTTTGTGTGTGTCTTTTAAAAGCATTAAGAAAAAGGATTTAAAATCTTAGAAAACGGCCTGATTCATCTTGGGCTCTACAGTTGGAAAAGTACACACTTCAGGACCTTTACATCTTTTCCCATTCTATTTTTAAATTTATTCATTCACGTCAAAGAACTTGTTTCAGTTGAGACTCGTTTGTTCATTTTTCTATGTCACTTTTATACAAAACAGTGGTTTTGCATCATGAGCACTGATCTTCCACCACACATCTGATTAACTTCCATTTTAAACCACATGAAATGAATAAACCTGAAACACCTTGTTGTCCTCTAGTACTACATGTACTGCATGTTTTTATCTTTATCCTGTTTTGAAGCCTTCAGGGGCTTTCTTTGCTGCAGAGGTCTGTTTAAACATGCAACTGGAAAAGTTATAAAAATCACACTTCTGCATTTAATTATAAAGTTTGAAAATTTGTAGATTAAAAAATTGTGCAGTTGTATCAAATCTCTATTATACTGAACCTGAAATTATAATCTGATCAAAAATCAAAGCGCAGTACAATTAGCAACATGTTCTCCTCGTGACTCCAGTTTGTTGGGATGTGAATCCACAAACAACGAGAACAGGAAAAAGAAGATTAATTAGATTTTATTTCCTCCAGAATATTTCATCGAGCAACGACAACTAGGCAGTAACAAAAATACAGTCCACTTAACTTAAACGTCAAAGCATTATAAAGCATTTCTATGGTATACAAGAATAACTCCTCTAAAATGTACATCTTTACAAAGTGTTTACAAATAAGATGCAAAATGAAAACAAACAAAAAAAATAAAGACAAAAATAATCCCCACACATATGTACAACTAAAAACATACTTCATATTTCTCTGTTGGATTTAATGACGTGCTTTTCTTGTCTTTTTGTGAGTCGATTTTTAAGATTTAACCAGTTTGTGACGGAAAATGTGACAAGTTTCCAAAAATATTCACAGTATCTCATTCAATTTTTCCCTAAAGTGTAAAGCATCTGTCTTTTAATAAATACGCTGGACTTTAATTTACAATCGGTTTGTGGCTCGCAGAAATGTTGAAAGTAAACAAGTGAATTTGGTTATTTTGGTGTTTTTAAGTGAGCTGTAAATCCCGGAGATGCTTTAAAGGGAAAAGCAACAACTAAATCTTTAATAAAAATATCAGCTACTTAAATGTGATTTTTCTTGTGGGAGTGAGGATCTAATATCAGTAGTGTGACAGTGTCCCATAAAGCAAAACAAACATCAATTTAAGAGAAGACAACAAGAACTTATCAAATACAGTACTGTAATCTTTAAACTAACTCCGCTTTGTGGTCCCTCTTAAAAAAAAGAAGAAAACAAATAATGTGCATGTTGAGATGCATATGTTACCCCAAAACTACTGCACTTAATCCCACAGATGCTTGCAGATTTGAAATAAATAAGAATTCTTATAGATAATCTAAAAATATCAGCCTCTTCTCTTGGTTTTTAAAGCAATTCACCCTACAGGTGAAAAAATAATGACAGGACTCTAGAGTAACACTTAATATCTTAAAACAGATTTAAAGTCTAAGTCGGTCATCTTTAACCTAATGAGTTTTGTAGTGGGCAGAAATATTGTCTTTATAGTTGTGATATGTTTCTTAAAATAATTCAAAGGGACAAAGTCTGGAGGTTTTGAGCTGTAAAACTAATTTAAGAGCAATTTAAACCATCAGCAACAGTTCAAGTGTCCTACCTGTTACAGATAACTCTTTAAACAACATCAGAGCTAACAGTTATTTAGCTAAAAACCACAGAATTACATGTCAATAACTGTAATGCAAAACAGATTTTTTTTATTACTGTTGCATGGATTACTATGAAATGTTTGACATTGCTGTTAGCTTGTCAGCTTCCACTTCTCCAAACTGAGCTCGTTCAAAGAGTTATCTACAACAGGTAAGATATCAACTGTCCCTAACCTTTCCACAGAACCCCACTTCAAAACATCTGAACTATGAGTAAAACAAAAACAAAAGGGTGGTTTTATCAACAGAGTCAAATATTTTAGCGTGAACTAAGTGCAACATAATTAATTCAAAAGAATCCAATTGTTTCAACAAGGCTCAGATGATTTAAAGAGCTTTAAAATCCCTTCAGTTAAAAAAGAATCCATTCAGTCAAACTAGAGCCCAGAACTCTGGAAGTGCTCTCGTTCAGGCTTTGACGTCATTGGCCATTACCACCAGCAGCCTATAATGTTGAAGCGTTTTAACACAAAGTTTGGTCTCGTTTCTCTACAAACGTGGTTGCGATCAAAGAACCGTTCAGCAGATGTGGGGCGCTGCAGGTGGAGCAGCCCTGGCCCTCGTGCTCATAGATCTACAGAGCTACAGTTCCTAGGCGAAGCTACTGGAGCTCAGACACTGAAACTTCTCCCTCAGTGACTGGACGATGTTGGGTTGGTTCTGTTGCGGCTCGCTCCACAGGTACTTTTCCAGATGCTCGTGGTCCAGAGAAGACCTCAACGGGTCGCAGGAGTGGGCCGGAGTGCACGGCAGACTCCGAGACTGGACGAGAGCTCGGTTCTGAGCAGGAGGGGCCGCTGAGCTGCTGTTCCCTTGGCCCACCCGGTTCCGCTCTGCTTCACTCTCGTCCTCCGAGCGGATCTCTACGTAGTCGTCGTCCTCCTCCCCGTTGTCCTTGAAGTTGGCCAGGTAGTTCTGGGTGGCGCTCCGAGCAGAATCCCGGTTCAGGACTATGACCTGTTGGCCATCATGTAAGGTGAGGTCCGGCTGGCCCAGAGAGAACTGCTCTGGGAGGCTGCTCTGCCGACCGGCTCGACCCAGACTGGGGCCGCGGAGTCTGTCAGGGTTTCGATCCACATCGGGTCCTTTCCACCTGAATCCAGACTGGTGGTGATTCTCCTGCTGGGTGCTGCTTAAAAAGCCGGCTGACTGACACCGACCTGCCGGGGAAGGTTTTGAGGAGGGAGCATTAAAGGAAGGATGTCTTTTAATGGTACTGTACACGTGCTCCTCCTCGTCGTTCGGCGCCGAAATGCACGAGCTCCACCTCTGCGGTGCCGGAGCAGTGGGGGAGGGAGGGGTGGCCTTAAGAGAAGGGATGGAGCAGGTGTGGGTGAGTCTGCGCTGAGAGCCGGAGCTGGTCTGAGCCTCACTGGAGGAGGACATGAAGCTCGCCAGCTCTCCGTTGCTGTAGGTGGACAGCAGCCAGTCCTCCTCCAGGGAGGTCTCTGGCATCGACGGGGAGGACGGCAGCCCTGGGTGGGGGTGATGTTGGGGGGCAGGGGTCTGACCTGCAGAACCGAGGGAATCTTTAAACATCACCTGGTCGTAGAGCTGAGAGTATTCAGCTATCCTTGCACCTGAGGACGAAAAACAACAAGTCTGTTTAAACTTTTCAGTCTCACCGAGAAACTTGCAGAATTTAATCATTTCAGTCATTTGGAGGCTACAAGACCATAAACACATCTCTGTCCAGGTCCATCCTTGTTATGTTGCAATATAATGTTTATACATATTGTAATAGAAAGAAAATAAGTCAGGATTTTAAAAATGAAATTTACAGGAATAAAACGTGAAATTATAAAAAAAAAAAATTAATAATTTACAAGTTGGATTTCGTTTCAACACTTTCCATTGTTTTTTTTTTTTTTCCCCTGCCCAGGCACCGGTATTCGTTTCAGAAATAAAAATTTAATATAAGGTAGTTTAAAACTTTTTTCTGTTAGATTTGAGGGGAAATGCAATAAAATCAAAGTTAAAGATTATTTTTGAGGTGATTTTACGAAGCCAAAATATTTAACTGTTAAACGTTTCTGTTTCACGTATGTTTTTTTTGTTTTTTGTGATAAAATAAAACCTGAATCAAAGTATTTTAAAATAAGCAATTAATTTTTCTCGATGTTAAATAAACCCAAATAAAACATTATTAAAATACATTATTAAAAGACCAACAGCTCATATTGTGATTTAGTTTGTGATTTGTTGATGCTAAATATAATAATCCAACACTATCTATGTCTTTTCTTCTTGTTTTTTAATATTGGGATGTTTTTAAGTTTTGTTTTACAGTAATCCCTCGCTAATTCACGGTTCATTTATCGCAGACTCACTCTATCATGGTTTTTCAAAATAAGATTGGACATGACACACAATTGGCTGATTGATGGATGAGCCGCATGACCGGCGTGTAATTTTTATTTAAAATAAATTATTTTAAATTATTTAGCCCGTGTGCAGCCTAAGCTGCAGGAAAAGCTTCTTCGTGCAGCTTATCAGCTGATCTCTGCTCTGCAGCAGATAAGTGGGCGTGGACAAGAGCGACATTTGGCAGAGCGCAACGGAGGCAGAGCTGAAATCATGACATGCTGTGCTCCTTTAGAGCCTTTAGAGTTTAGAAACATTGTTTAGAATATTGCAAGTGTGGGAAGAATTTAAAATGTCTCTTCTCTCTCTCTCTCTCTAATATATATATATATATATATATATATATATATATATATATATACATACATATGTGTGATTTTATATTTTTTGCACCACAGGGAACACTAAAAACATCACTATCATAAAAAACGTCTGTTTTCACCAGAATTAGTTTAAGGAACATCCTGATGTCCTTTAGTGCAAATCAAGCCACATATTTGGTTTGCAGGACTTTGAGATAAAAACTGAAAAGAAGCTCTCACACATATTGTTTGTTGTCATTAAAAGAAGATACATATTTTACAGTACCTATAGCTGCACCTCCTTGTTTCTTCTCCTCTAAGATGGCAGCGAGGTCTATCTGTTTCTTCTCCGCTCTGCTCCGACTGCAGGCGTCTCCAGGGTCCATGCTCCTCATGCGCAGCAGGTGGTTGGCCTTCTTGATTTTCTGGCTGTACTGTCGGGCCATCAAGAACACGCGGCTCTTGGTTTTGTCCATCAGCTCCAGGGGGAAGTCCACAGACTCACCCAGCAGGAGGGAGGAGGACACCAGTGGGGAGTCCAGTCCTGCCAGCTCCCCTGGAAACAGACGCTGGAGGTCCTTGAAGGCGCCGTCTCTCTGAGAGGCGTTTCTCTGAGGAAGCTCCACCAGATCGTCATCCTCTAGTCGGAAGCTGCCGCTGCTGAGCCGGGCCAGTCTCTTTCGGATGCTCTTCACCGTGCCTGTGGGGGGCTCTGGGGTGACAGGAAGGGGGCGGGACGCAGGAGACAGACTGTGGTGTTCTTCCTCAGCGGTGCTTTCACTCTGAAGTTCAGGAAGGTTGATAACTGGGATGGTGAATGAAGGCGTGGAGGTGACAGGTGGAGGTTTAGGCTGATGTGATGGGGGGCTGATGGTGTGAGAACTAACCACCGGAGGACTCTTTGTAGGGCTGTTTCTGACAGATGAGGCCTTCTTAGATGACTCCTTGGCACTCACAGGGAATGCAGCAGGAAGTCGATCAGCTTTCTTCTCATTGTTCTTGATGTAGTTTTCGAAGTCGGTCCAAATCTCATCACTGTTCTCCGACATCTTTTCTGTATTCTGAAGAAAAGTTCCAGTAGGAGAGGAAGAGTAATCTGGCTCCGAGGAATGTGGGACACAACTGGAAGCCTCTGGTGCTTCATTCTTTTCAACGCTGAGACTCTCCTCTGGAAAAAAGCCTCTGTAACCTTCTTGTTCACCGTCCCTCTCTTGTTTCTGCTCAGCCCGTTCACTCACAGCCGATGGTGGCTCCATAAAACAGATGGTGTCATAAATGTTTTCCTCTGCTATCTGGAGCTCAAAGTTCCCACACGGCTTCAGCTCCTGCGTGGAGGACCGGTTGCTCTCTGATGAACTGTCTGGCCCAATCAGCGAGTCTCCGACCGCTGGAGCACTTTCTCCTCGTGTCGCCTGAACAGCCTGACCATTTGAAGACGTCTCTTTCTGCATCTGGCTTTCATCAATGTCCCTCCTGATGAAACCCATGCTCCTCAGATCCTCATAGCTGATATTATCATAAACATTTTCAAGATCATCTATGGTGAGCTGCTCGGCTGAGGACGACCCAGAAATGTCGTTACTGGACGATTCCGTATGAATTGCTTCCAGATTGCTGAGATCAGCCTGATCATGGTGGGTGTTCTCTCGAGCATCTGTAGCCTTCTCTCCTGCGCTGCTCGCCCTCCGCAGGACTCTGCTACCATCAGATGGAGGGTCCACCTGCACCGCGGGCACCTGTTCCACATGCCAGCTGCAGGGTCGGGCTGTTCTGGGCGAGGAGGTGGTCTCTGTCCTCTCAGAGGCCACCTCTGGCTCTGCTGCGCTCGGTTCTGTAGGGACAAACATCTGGTAGATGTCCTCGTCCTCGTCGTCAGGCTGCATCGTTCTCTGGCGGGTGGGGAACATGGCCCTGCGAGCCCGATGGTCCGCCCAAATGTTCTGCACTGAATGATCAGTTTCTGTGACTATAACAGAGGGAACGGGGGAGTCTGGAGGTTCCTCAGTCACGCGAGGCGTCCTGCGGAGCGGTGGGTGGTGGCTTCCTTCCCTCACTAAGGATTCTCTGGCTCTCTGAGATACAAGACAACAGAAATAAAAAATAATTATTATTATATGCCCTAAACAAGACTTTAAAGAGAAGCCAGTTTCACTCGATGGCCAACTTGTTGAAACTGTGACAAATTTTAAATACCTAGGGTCATTCCTGGACAGTCAGACACCTTTGCTGAAAACACTGAGTATACATTTAAGAAATGTTCACAGACACTTTATCTTTTAAAAAAACTTAATGGTCTTGGGGCAGCATGGTGGCGCAACTGGTAGAGCTGCTGCTGCTCAGAGAGCTGGTCCCTGGTTCAAATCCCAGTCTGGAGGCCGTTCTGGGTGGAGATTGCATGTTCTCTCCGTGCATGTGTGGGTTTTCTCCAGGTGCTCCAGTTTCCTCCCACAGACCAAAAACATGCATGTTAGGCTGATTAGTAACTCTAAATTGTCTCTAGGTGTGAGTGAGAGAGTGAATGGTTGTTTGTCTCTATGTGTCCCTGTGATGGACTGGAGACCTGTCCTGGGTGTACACCGCCCCACGCACAGTGATTGCTGGACATGGGCTCCGGCGACCCCCGTGACCCAAAATGGAAGAAGCGGGTAAAGATAATGGATGGATGGATAAAATAATAAGATGAGATATTATAATATATATTATAAGATATTATAAGATAATAATAATAAGATAATAAGATAATGGATGGATGGATAGCTCTACAGTGACTGGTCTAAATGACTATCAGTCAGTGGCCCTCACCCCGATAGTCGCTAAATGCTTCAAAAAACTGGTCATGACTCACATCAAAACAACCATAAACATCAACGAGGACCCTCTTCGGTATGCATACCGTGAGAACCGACAGAGGATGCCATCTCCTCTGTGGTCCACACTGCGCTCAACCACCTGGAGCAGAAAGACTTACGTCCGTACGCTCTTTGTGGACTTTACATCTGCCTTCAACACCGTGATCCCCCAAACCCTGATGGACAAACTACTCACACTAGGACTAAGCTCCTCCATTTGCAACTGGGTACTAGACTTCTTAACAAACAGACCACAGTCAATGAGGATCCACAACTTCTCCTCCTCCACCATAACCCTCAGCACTGGCTCTCCTCAGGGATGTGTGTTGAGCCCCCTCCTGTTTACGCTGCTCACGTATGATTGTGCAGCTACGCCCTGCTCCCCTCAGGAAGGAGGTTGAGGAGCATTAAGTGAAGAACCACTAGACTGAGGAACAGCTTCTACCCTGAGGTTGTTAAGACTCATGAATCTCTAAGCAGAATAATCATTGTGAAAAATCACATCATGTTGCTGCTGATCTGTTTCATGTTGCTGCTGATCTGTTTCATTGTTGATGTGTTCATGCGTGCTCATCCGCTCACAGACTCATGTTCATGCTGCTGTTCGACGTAATGTTTTTATGCTATTAGTGCATAGTGTATATTTAGTTGATGTTTTTCTTAGTTCATATCTTAGATGTTATCATTGTTTTTCTTTTACATTTTATTGCTGGATGTAACTGGGACCCTGTGTACATAATTTCGTTCCACCACATGTACCACATGTTGCGAATGACAATAAAGAATCTCTGACTCTGATAATGGTCTTGGGGTTAGTCAGCATACTTTAGAGCTTATGTACAAGGCAATTGTTGAGAGTGTTTTAACTTTTCACCTCCCTGCCTGTATTGTCATCTGAGCTGTAGACTAAAAAACAAACTTTTAAGACTTGTTTCAATGGCAGGTAAAATCGTGGGGAAACCACAACAAGCTCTGTCTCAACTTTTTGCAGAAAGAACAAAGAACGGCAAGGAATATTTTAGCAGATAACACCCAACCTCTTTTTTGTCAGTTTGAAACTCTGAGCTCAGGAAGGCGTTACAGGATCCCTCTGGCAACAAAGAACATCTATAAGAAGTCATTTATTCTGAGTGCTATAACCATTCTTAACCAAACCAAATTATAATATTTATCTATGGTATGCAAAGTGTTTTATTCTACGCACAAATTGTTGATATTTTTGATTGTATGAATGTGTTTTATTTTATGGTTGGAGAGCAGAAGGAAAATTTCCACCTTGGTGGACAATAAAGTTTTATCTTATCTTATCTTATCTTATCTTATCTTATCTTATCTTATCTTATCTTATCTTATCTTATCTTATCTTATCTTATCTTATCTTATCTTAAATAATGACGTGTGCAAGTCAGAAAACCAAAGAAGCTGAAAGGCATTATCTAATGACAACAGCCCAGTTAGGAATTAATAACATACCTGCAGGTCTGAAGCGCTCATGTTGAAAGTTTTCCACTGCTCAATGCTGTCAACAGACGCTTGAGGGTTCAGCCTCTTCCTGCTGCCTTTGCCAGGAACTCTCAGCCTCTTTCCACCTCCCTGAACAAAAAATGTTCAAAGTTATCGTCTTCTCAAGGACATGTTATTCACACATGTTTGAAATCATTTTTAAAACACAGAAAATGTGCAGTTTTGTTGTATTTTTACAACAACAAAAAAACCTCACCAAACCACTGTCATCTTCATCATCAGCATCCTGCTGATGGGATTCATCTCCTTCCTCCCTATCGCTGTGATCATAGTGGTCTCCAGGATCCAGGGACTCCTGTGATTGGTTGATTAGACTCCGGCTGCGGCCTATAGTGCCCAGAGCCAGCTGGGACACGGGAGAGAGCAGGCTGGCACCTAAACTGCTTCTCTGGGGAAGCAAACAGCAGCAAGTTGCAGGATAAATACACTCTGCGTTAGTGATCCTTTAAAACGGATTAGAACTCACTTTTTCACCATCGGTGTTGGCAGCATTCTGCCTCGCATTCTTCAGTAATTTGGAGAGGGGCTCTGCAAACACAGAAAAACCTTTAGTTCACCTCATCATCTAGTGTTAAACACAACGTGCACCTGATGTTTGACTGAAATGAATGTGATATTCCCTGAAAAGCTGATTTTGTTGTCTTATCCGTGTTATATCAGTTCCCTGTTTAAAGAAGTGAATGAACGAGTAAATGAGCCATTTTTCACCTTTTCTGCGTCCTCTACGAGGAGTGGGGCCTTCCTTAGTTTGAGGAGAGTCCTTTTTGTCGCTGTCAGGGCTGTAGTGAAAACCAGGATGATCTGAGAAAAAATAATAATAATCACACACAAATCAATAATTAAAATCTAATGAAATTAACTTTTGATGGTAAAGAGTATAACAAATATAAAGGGTAGGTTTTTAACAAACAGCAGTCATTAAGTGCATGTAAAAGTCTTGTAAAATAACACTTACGTATTGCATCCATTTCCAAAATGGCTTGTTTGGCCTGGAATTCAACAAAACAAGAGTTAATTTGTCAGATTTATTGGAAATAAAATGTTTTGACCACTAGGTGGGGCGACATCACAGTATTGGCAAAGTTCTAAGCGCTTTAACTTTTGTAGTAAGTACCTTACCAGAATATTATTTTATATATTTCATGCAGCTTTACTCCACTTTCTACTTGTATCTACAACTGATTTTAGAGTAAAACGAGTAATTTCCAAACATTTTGACTTCTGTTAAAGAAACACAACATGCCGTCTGAGTCACACTTTAATGTCTTGAAGTTAGTGGTAGCTCAGTTTAAAAAAAAGTTTTTCTTCCTTCTGCTCTATTTATTTAAAAAAATAAAATAAAAAAACAGAACCACTCAGTTTAATCCAGTCTGAAAGCTGCTTCACCTTCAGCAGTTTCAACTGAAAATGCACATATTACAACAGTGTACACGTTTTTATGTATACATTTACATACATATGTACTCTTGATCTTTATATTTTGTAAATGATCATTTGTTTTGTTTCAGTACTCTTGCACCATTGTTGGCAGCTGTACAGCATTAACCTTACATTTAATTCAGTGACAGTGAACCGATAAATAATCCATCAGTTTCTTCCTGAATCTGGCCAGAGGTTTATGACCGATTGTGGCAGAATGCAGATTAAATTAAGGGCTTAGCACTCCTTGAAGAAATGCATATTTCCCTCCACCTTTGGTGCCTGAACTTTAGACTAAGCTCAGTTTATCTTGAGAAATTACAAGAGTTGTAGCGGTTTTGTTAATCCATGACAATAACATTATGTGCCCGTTTCAGTGTGTTGTGAATGACTCTCAGCAACAACCACACCTAATTTTAGGTCAATATCTGAAAAATGACTGAGTTATAGACATTTCTGTGTTGCTAATTTAGATTTGTTGTGGTCACCATCATTATTAAATTTAATACAAAAGATACTCAGATGTAGATGTGCGGTCATTGAATATTTACTGTAAGTTTCATTAAAACTTGTCCAGTGGTTGATAAGATATGTTGTAAACAGGTAAACAAAGTTGATTCAAAATAATTAATGGAACATTTTTAATTTAATTAAATTTTAATAAAATACTTGTACAATGTGTTAATGCCCAGAGGATTAGCCTCAGCTATTAGCACGCCAAATGTTAGGTTGGTATTTATAGAACTGACTGAGTTATAGTCTATATATATTTATTTTTAAAAAAGATTAAGGGTTAGCTGGGTATGGCAGCCATCTTTATTTGAGCTGACCTCAAAAGTTAATCAGTTGTAGATGTAGATCCAACGATTACCTCCTGCAAGTTTTATTTAAATTAGTCCAGTGATTCATTGGATATTTTGCTAACAGACACATGCAACCATGTTGGTGGCGAGCGACAATGAAGAAATCAGAACGTAATAAAGATAGGAGCAGAAGTGGAGTTTTTTTTATTTTAGGATGGAGTGACAACAACAAACTCTACTAAATATCTCAGATGAGCTCCTCTTACCTTGGCAGGAATTTTGGCAGGATGGTTTTCAAGTATGAGTCTTTTGAGGTGTAAGATCCACATGCGCTTGTCTTGCTGGGATTTGGCCTTGGGGGGGGGGGGGGGGGGCGGTCAGAGCACAACACATTGATAAGAGGATCAGGTCACAGATGCACTTTAAATGCAGCAAGATGATTCCTTTAAAGTATAACCTTCGTACATCACACACTAGACTTATTTTGTTTTTCAGGGCTCATCCCAAACCCGGCGGTTATGTAAAAACAATGAGGGCCTTTAGCCATTAAACACCAAACATGTCTGAGCAGCTCTGCGACATCTCCGCAAAACAATGAGACGCCTGAAAATCATCATCACACGTTCAGATTCTTGCACAACGCTGCTGCTAGCTGCAGAAAATTCCCAAACATGTAATTACAATCAAAATGCGTCCAACTTTTACTACTAGGCAACAGTGTTTCTATACCTGGACTGTATGCTGCAGCTTGGGATTCTTGTAATGAAATACACTGAAACTGAGTGGCTCTTTGGGGATAACTTCCACCAGCATCAGGTTGCAGCACTGCAAGACACAGACAGGAAGTTGCCTGAAAAGCCGAAACGTTTCACCAGTGATCGGTGTCTCTTTAGGGCTTTGAGTCGTCTGACTGACCAGGATGTGAGCCTTGTACGTGTACGTCTCTTCTCGTTTTTTGGTAATCAACAGCAGCTTGTCGAACAGGAAGAGGGTTCTTTCGTTTTTGGCTCTCTGCAGACGAAACGTTCCCTCAAGAACGAGCTCCCCGTAGCCGATCAGATCGGGACCCTTCCAGTTGGTCAGGAGGCTTTGGATTTCCTGCAGGAAGGACGAGGTTAAAGAGTCACAGTTTGAATGTTTGTGTTTATTCTGACACAAAACAGGAACTGCTATTATAAAACAACAATGGCCGTCAGAAAAAAATGTGATTTTGGCTTGCAGGACTTCGAAATTTATTATTGATCGGAATGATGTTTTTAAATCACACAAAAATAAATCGGAGAAAAATGGTTAAAGATTTAGCATTGCTCACATACCACCTGCTGCTTTTCATGAACAAGGTTTAAACAGATCACCAAATAAAAAATAAATGACATTTAAGTTTTAGCCTTTTTAGTCAAATCTTTAAACTAACATGTGCAGGCAATTAGGACTGTAACAAGATGCTTAGCTCACAAAAAAGAAAAGATTACTGGTTATTGATAATTGGTTTAGGAAAAAAGCTTTAGCCACCAACTCTGATTTCTCATGAGTCTTGTCAGAATTTAGAAGAGATCAGACTTATTTTAATAAGAGGCCAAAATAGAAGTGAGAACTATTGTTTTTATATTTTCTTGAGAAAAAAAAAAAAGCCTTTTCTCAGTATATCTTATTCATAGTCAGACAAAACAGTTTACTGGATTTATTTATTTATTCCTTTTATAGAGACTTACATGTTACCACAGCTAACAAAATTTTTAATGTAAATACAAAACGCTGCTAATGATTTCTATAAAATTACAAAAGAAAACACAAAAACATAATTTGGATAAAAAAAAATTAAATTTGTATGCCTCTTTTATGATTGTCTATTGTTGTCGTTGTTATCTAATGTTGTCATCACTCTTTGTTAAAGAAATCAGGTCTCTCTTGTAAATGAGTCTCTGAGGCTCAATGGGATTAACCTGTATAAATAAAGATTGAATGAAAAAAAAAAAAAGTCAGGCGGGCTCGGTAGCTGTGAAAAAACTATGCAGGCGTTTGAGTCCAAGTTGGTGAAACTCAAGACTGAAATCAAGGTCAAGGTTCTTTATTGTCATTGGCATCGCATGTGGTATACATGTGGTGGAATAAAATTGTGTACACAGGGTCCCAGTGGAGAGACCAATACTAGTTTTTAAATATATTTTCATCACATATAAAATTTAGTCACACTAATGAACACAGATTATAAATCAGCATGAGTGGAGATCAGGGAGGAATCAATAAATGGTACAGTCTAATTATTTTACTCCTCTACTTCAAAGTTTGATTGACTCACTTCCTCTCAACTCAAATACATTATTAAGTGGTTCAAACTTTATTTTCTCAGCTTTTAAATAGAAAAAATATTATGTGAACTTGGCATTAAGTCGATTCTATGTTAAAGAAATGCGTGGCAGAGGCTCTTCATCTCAGCACGTAGCTGTAGAGGCTGCAGGAGATGTGAGTGAAAGCTGCACTCAAGACTTTTAACTGCTACTTTAAGGTCACAGTAACATCTTCAGCAGTGGTTTAACCACATAAAATTCATGAAGCTTTTTTTGGTTTGTGACCCAGTTTTCAAATCAAGATTTTGCATAATCTAATAGTGCTTGGAGTTTGTGTTGGGAATGACTCTCTGCTACTATCACACACAAAAAAAATTAGCTTTACATCTGGAAATTTGACTGAAATATTCTTGTATTTGCTAAAGTTCATTGATTGCAGCAGCCATCTTGGAATGGGTTGAATAGAATTTAAATAATAAATCCAGTTTTTAACAGATACACTTAGAAAGTGTTTGTAGGATTAAAAGTAATGAAAAAACAATCCAGATAAACCCAAGAAAACTTCTTCTTGGGTCTTCTCCAATACTTGGTCCACACTTAAAGATGAAATGTTTTCACACATTCCTCTGTTCGTCTGACCGTCCCATCTCCCAAGCAGATAAAAGAAACAAGCTCTCCTTTTATGTCTGCTCCTTATGCAAGCCCATCATTAGCCCACTGGAAAATGCAGTGTCTTGCGTAAGATGTTGGGGAGAACAGGGCCAGACACTACAGAGTTCACACAGTACTGTTCTGCAGAACAATAAGAGGGCTCCTCAAAGGGCTCTAACCTCCAGTGTCTGTTTTAGGTGGTGGAAGACTTGGAAAGCGTGTCTGAGCAAGCGCTTCTGGTACCTGCAGCCTAACAGCGTGCTCGTGTTTCCTCTTCATGTCATTGATGTGCCAGGCCACTCTCTGCATGGTTTCGATGGCTTCCTGCACAACCTCGTAGACCTCTGTGTCCTTCTCCATATGGTTGGCTATCTCCTGCAGTAAACAAGCTTGGAGTTAGCATTTGCATCCACACATAAATGTTTGTTTGTGTTGCACCCTCATAATAATGCAAGCAACATGGACATTTACAGGAAAATGCACGCTGAGCACCATCTGTCAGAACATTTGGCTCTTCTACTTTGAAGAAGAGTCAAACAGACATGTGCATTTGTAACAATATAGATAAAATCATTAGTTTGTACTTGCAAGTGTGTGCCTGCTCCTCTTTTTTTTTCTACGTCATTGTGTGTATATGCAAAGACAGCTGGCAGACAGACTTACGTGCAACAGGAGGTGGTACTTAAGGATCCGCTGCACTGGCTTGAGCAGGTAGGAGCCGAGGGGTAAGGAGTGTCTCAGAGATTCCTGGCGCTCACGAAAAAACTTGGCCAACGCCTTGTTCCTCATGCATTCAGTGAGCACAGCCACTGACCTGTGGAGACAGAACACGGCAAATAAGATGTCAGACTTACGGTTAATCGTAGGTTGACAGTTAGGTGAAAAGGAGCAGTGATGATCTGATGATCCCCTGATGAAGACTTGAACACTTTGGCTGACTGAATCAAAAAAAGCTTAAAGGGATACAATGTGAGGCAAACTTTTAGAACATTTTAAAACATTTAGTGTTAATTAAAAGTCGATCATTATGAGTTTTTCTTTGGCTGATACTAATTTTTAGAAATCAGGGCAATCGGTGGCCGTGATACAACAATTAATTTTATTTTTGATGTTTTGTTTTAACAAAATATAACAATTGCCTAACTTAAATAAATGTATATTAAACAACCTGCAGAATAACCTGTAATCGTAAACAGAACATAAATGAGCATTCTTGTTAAAAAAGTGTTACAGTATGCTGTTGTAGCAGCTGCTGGTGAAGCTTCACATTCTGATTCAAGTCAGTCGATTGATTAACTAATCTATTTCTAGTGGTAATTAGGCCTGTCATGATAACAAATTTTGCTGGGCGATTAAATATCTCAGAAGTTATTGTGATAAACGATAATATTGTTTGATATTTGACAATAATTAGTAATTATTGTCAACATTTAGGAAGAAATTTTGGTTAATTTTTGTGTATAGTACCTTTTTTTGACAACTAGATGGCAGTATAAGACAGTTTGATTCAAAGGATGGATAGTGAGAGCAGCAGCAGCGTGTCTCTTAGAAAAATGGGAGGGAGGTCCCTTGACGTGACATGGGCAATCTCTTGTTCCTGTTTTTCGGTTCTCAAAATGGCAAACAGTCGGGGTGGTTTGAGCTCTTTAACATAGCATTTGTCACACAAAACCTTTAATTAAAAAAATCAGTAAACAAGTTTTCAACTTCTTTTTGCAGAGAAAAACAACTTTTTAGACGAAGGCACAAGTTGTGAATTATTGAAGCTTTGATAAGACGGAAGTTTTTTCCCCCGAGGTCGGCCTGTTAGCTTAGCTCGTAGTTTAGCTTCTCAGCTTAGCTGCTTTTAATGATCCAAAAATGTGATTTTGGACGGTTAAAACAAATTTTAAAGAGAAAAGAGAAAGGGAGGAGTCATTGAAGAGCACCGGAGTTGAGCATTTTGTCATCCATTGTCTTCAGTAGAAAGAAAGACACGAAGAAACAATAAATGAAAATGGGGTCGATAATTTTCATTTATCATGTGATTAATTGATTAATTGATTTATTGTTCATCGCGACAGGCCTAGTGGTAATATCTAACAAATGTACAGCACAAGCTTGTAAAGTAATTCTGAAAATAACTAATTACAACCCTAATTCAAAGATAGTTGGGAATTTGTATAAAATGTCAATAAAAACCAAATGCAAAAATTCTCATAAACCCAAATTCCTTTCACAGTTGAACATAGTAAACATAATAAATGTTTAAAGTAAGAAAGTGTACCATATTTAGTGAAAATTAGGGTAATTAATTTTATTAATAATCTAGATTATCGTAGTAAGATCGTTTTGAATTTGATGGAAGCAATATTCAAGACAAGAGAGGGAGCACCAAAAGGCTGTAAAACTAATTGTTAAAATAGGAAACAGCTGGAAGACCATTTGGGAACTAATGAGGTTAAACTGGCAACAGGTCAATAAGAAGACTGGGTAAAAAATGAGCATTTTAGAGAAGCTGAATTTCTCAGAAGTAAAGATGGGCAGAGGTTTACCAGTCTATGAAAAATTGTCTAAAAATTGTGGAACAATTTCAAAAATTTTTGTCCTCAAGATGAGATTGTGGACTTTGAATATCTCTATATCTACAGCTTACTGTGAAATAATTTCGAGAATAATTCAAAATTACCATTTAAAAAAGGTACAAGTTCTTAGTTTAATCACAATATTTTAGCTGTTCCATTGTGAATAAAATATATTTTGAAAATCATTGCACTCCATTTTTATTTACATTTACACCGTTTGCTATGTGCATCACTTTAAAACAACAGCTCATGGAACAAAAGGCCTTCTTGCGTAGCACCACTGCTCCACTGTGCAACCCTTGGACTCTTCCATTGATTGTAAATACAGTTATTGATCTTCAAGCCCAATTTCAGCCTCAAATGTCACATTAACTGCCAGACTTGAGGCTCAGCGTGTTAGCCAAGCCAATGTAAAGTAAAATGTGCAACCTCAGAAGAGCAGCACATTACAACCTCGTTAGATTTACTGCTCAGTGGAGCTCCTTAGCTGTGGGAGCTGAAGAATAAAGAGCTTTTTCAGAAGCTACACAGGCTGTGTGTGTGTGTGCACAGTGGAAACAGACAGTTGCAAACTTGTCTCATTCTTCTGCCCTGTGTGTGTCTGTGTGTGTGTCTATGTGTGTGTGTGTCTGCATGTCTAAATTCCAGTTTGGCTCCACACAGGCCTCACATTGTTCTAAAGGAAACCCGACCTCAGAGCTCTGTATGGCCATGATACGTCTGCAGCCTCGGTGAGTTCATCTGCAAGTGTGTCCTTGTGTGTGTCATGTGTGACCTCCATGGGGGGTCATCAGCTGTGCGGATGTGGGGAGAAGGTCTGTCACAAACAGCTGACGACGGCACACAAACACAATCAGCATTCAATTAGGCCCCATTACATTAGGTTTTGTCCGCCTGCGTTTAGCTCTTAACGTACACCGGGAAGGAAAACTCGCTGCCTGAGGAGGTGTGTTAGGCAGGTGCACATCAGTATAGCCTCACGTTTCAGCCTGGTTTTATCACTCGCAGCGTACACACTGACACACATTATTCCAGCCAGGTGTCCCAAGGCACAAAAGTGTGCACACAAAGCAGAATAAAACATTAACAGAATTGGGTATGATAAGGTGACAACCCTAATTCCCCGTCTGTCAGCAGGGTAGCTGTCACAATGAAAGAATGGAAAGAGGAAAAAAGAAAAAGGAGGTGGATAGACCCTGAGGCACAACAACTGTTCTTAGACAGTTGGACTCCTGCTGAGGAGCCCTCTACAGAGCGAAGTTGGTTTGTCGAGGAGGAGTAAAAGGTAACTGGTTGAATGACACACACAGTGGAGCTATACAAGATGATGAGAAGACCACATGCGGAGGTGAGATCAAGACAGGATAACAGCTGTACAGTAGCCTTCAGAACAGACCAAAAAAAATCTTACCGTGGGTAGTTAGTGCAATACTGGGTATAAATGTGAAACTCTTCGCTCTGTAAGAACACAGCAAGAACAAATTAGCTGTAAGAAGTGTTTTCTCTTAACAAATACTTCTTTCACTACATTTAACACAGATTTTATGTTGACATCCATCACTACAAGCTGTTATATTAAACAAACTAGTTGAAAACAATGAACATCTGGATGAGCTAAAAAGGTAAATCAAATGAAACATTTTATGTAGAACATACAAAGATCTAAACAACCTAGGTGACAACCAACTTTTGTCTATTACAGTAGTCCCTTGTTACTTCACGGTTCATCATGGATTTGCTATATTGTGGTTTTTCAAAATAAGATTGGATATAACAGAATTGGCTGATTGATGGATGAGCCATGGATTGTTTATTTAAAATAAATGATTTTAAATGATTTTGCACCATGTGTGCAGCCCACAAGTGCAGGGGAAAGCTCCATCCTGCAGCTGATCAGCTGATCTCCTTCTCTGCCATGCACACATTTCTACTGCTGCCTCAGCTTTGTGAATGGTTAACCCTTTGCTGTCCAGCTGCCCCAATCAAATTTTGTCTTCCAACTTATAATTCAAACTATGACACATCGTCAAATCGTCATAATCACAAAATAGAAAAGTGCTAAAAGTTATTTTTTAAATTACTTTAGAACTTAAATGTTCAGTTGTTTCAGTGTAATTGATCAAGAAGTGCATTTCTGCTCCGTGCTGCAGAGCTGAAGCTGTGTGTCATCCCTTCGATGTCCTGCTGCACTTCTCTTCTCTACAATTTAAATTTAAATACTGTAACATTTTAAATAAACAATCCATGTTGCCTGGATTGTTTATTTAAAATGTTACAGTATTTAGATTTAAATTGTTTATTTAAGGAGAGAGATTGGGAGTAACAGGTGATGAGTGAGTGTGATTGTAGCATAGTACATGTCCTGACAAACTTTACTGAACTTGAACTGAACTTGAACTTGGACTACTGTATCCCTACTTCATGGTTTTTCACTTATCGCAGGTGGGTGTGGTCCCTAACACCCGCGATAAACGAGGGACCACTGTATATTTATTTATTTATTCATTTATTGTGCTATACACCATTTTGTATGGCTGTACAGGTTCTATAAACTCCAGTGTTAAAAAAAACTTCCTGGCAAAAATACAAAACTGATTCTAAAAGTTTCCTTTTTTTTTTTGTGGAGCATTGACTAAAAACCAAAGTAACCCCACAGTACATGTTCTTGCACTTTTGGTTTCTGAGGTTACGTTGAGGTACAAGCTGCACTTTGAAGTTCAAGATTTATCTACTTGATTTTTGTCCTGTACCTCAGTGTTTTACTGTACCTTCACTGGCTCGTGTCAGCTTTAATTACTTTACTGGCTGGTTATTTTATGTTTACTGCCTACATGCTCTGGGCCCACAGACAAGGCATCCACTCTCCTTTACTCATGGATCCTAACTGAAACTCATCCCCGCAGCTTATGATTAGCCGAACTCCCAACCTTTAATTCTCCGTTTATCACAACTGCTCTGAGCGGTTAGATTAAACAGCCCCTCATTCCCCATCGCCGCCCCTTTAACTGACACGTTTTCCCACCTCGCATACCTCTCTGTACATCAAAGGCATCAAACGGGCAGCATGACTTATCAAAGCTGGAATGAACTTCTTTGGTGTCATCTTCACATCAAACAGGATTTCGCCTCATTTTTATTTCTGCAGCATTCTTCATGTTTTCTATTCATTGATCGTTTGAGGAAAATTTCAACTGTTCCCTTGTTTCAGTTCGTGCTCTTATAAGATGAACTTGCTGTTGCATAACGTGGAATCGAACTAAACACTTTGTCTGTGGCTGTGTGTGTGAGTGTTGTTGGGGTGGGGGGGTAGGCTGCAGACAGCTTACACAGGAAGCAACATCTAAAACAAAAAGCAGATGACAGAAGTCTGTCCTGGTGTTTAGACACATGTGCACAGAACAAACAGGCACTCAAACAGTTAACTGAACCATGGAAAATGTACAGTGCAGACAGGAGATATGTGTGAAAGTTCGAGTTTTACCGCTAAGTAAATATAACACTGTGTATGCCCAAAGAAAAGTGTATATAAACAATATTTTTAACGAAATATACTAAGACTGAAGCTCACTAATACACAGACTCATTTGAACTGCTGGCCTGAAGTTCTCTGTGGGAACCTTTCCTAAATTGAAGAGCAGAGTCCCTCTCTTCCTCCTCCTCCTCCTCATTGTCTCGAGCAGGCTGCAGCCTTAGACCAGGCCTAAACACTACCAGATGTGCCACCATTGATTTCTGATGACACACACTCCCAATACACACTCCTAATATCCCTCTGTACCAAAAACAGAAGACCACAAAGTACATAAAAGGCTCTACGGGAAACAAATTCTGCAAAGGCTGCATGTATGCAGACGCCAGCGTGCAAGCACATATTCTTTGAACCTAAACCCAGCAGATCTTGAAATAACACATCTATAACACGCTTTCTTTTTGGGAACATATACAAGCCATGTTAAATCCTATAATCATCTCATGTGAGCGTTCTGAACTCTGTGCAGCTGCTATTCATGTGGAAAATAAAAAATATAATTCTCTCCATGCAAATTATACAGAACGAGCTGGAGCTCGGGCCATTAATCACTGCAGAAAGAGACAAAAAGTTCAATATGGATCACAGCTCGCTCATCAATTTAATAACAGAGTAATAACATGCCAGGTTTTGCTGATGCGATTATTTCTGAAGGCCGAACTGACCAGAGTGAGTCAGCAGCATGGCTAATCACAAGGAGTACAAAAAGTCTTGTGTAATTGCACTCTGCACTGTAATCAACATGTAGCAACCTATACAAGACTTTAAAGGCTTATTTTCAGCAGAGCACAGAACGGACGGTTGAACAGAAGAGAACATGAGGATAAATAGCCAATTACTTCAGAGATTTATAGCTGCTCTTCAAATGCTCTGCTGGGCTGTACATTTGGCTACTGAAGAGTAATGTGTTTGTACATCTCCAGAAGGTGAAGAGGAGCTTTTGTTGTTTTTCTGCATCTTAGCAACCATTATCACCGAAGTACTATTCAGAGTTAAAGATGAACTAGGTTAGCTTGAGAAAGTACAGCGATAGAAGTAGACTGACGATCAGTCAGCTGATTAATTTGGACAATTGCTTACTAATTTTGAATGTAATTGGTATCGGACGTGACTGTTACGCAAAGTCATTTGGAGATATCTGTAGGTATCTCAGTGTTGTCACACTTTATCGGTTACTTATACCTTACAGATCAAGTAAGATATTTAAGTTTCTCCTCATGACCGCAGGAGATGGGTGATGTTGGTACTTCCAAGATGGCCGCGCTCAGCCGAGTCGCAGCTTCACAGGCTCCCGGCGAACTTGATCTTTGTTTGTTCCTGTTGTTTTTGTCTTAATCTTTTTTTGCACCTACAATGCACATCCACAGTACTGGTATGACCGTGACAAACACTTGTGGAGTTTTCTGTGTCGCTGTCTTGCCATCGTGGTTCAGTCCTTCCAGCCTTGGGCTCAGGCCTGTCATGGCGGCTGTCTCCATGATCCTCCATCTGTCTGCATGGACCAAACTCTACGGAATAAAGAATCTCTGACTCTTCGACTCTCATTCCCTGCAGCCCTGAACAGGAACTAGCAGGTAAAGAAAATGGATGGATATTTAGATATTTAAGATGGGCTAAAACACTAAATATTTGATCAAACAAACTGGTGTAAAAATCCAATCATGGCAGGGATGGACGTTTTTAATCTAAGTAAAATTGATGCTTTGGGAGATTTGATAATTTTAAGTTTGAGTTGATCCAAAATTACACTGAAGAGCTCTCGTAATATTAATCAACTGCTTACAAGACATCAATATGCTTGTTTGTTATGGATCTCAGTTAATTGTGCAGAAGTGATGTGGGCTGCAGTAAAACAAGTTTGTCTCAATTACAGCTGCTGTATTTTGGGAGTTTATGACACAAGATGTGACTTTCTGTGGCCAGACAGCTGCTCTGTGGTATTGGGGGTAATTGCAGTGTGGTAGGGAGGGAATGTAATGGGTTTAGGAGGAAGTGCTGGAATGCTGCACACTATCATGGGACATGATCATGCAAACTCCTATTGCGGGATATAGACAAATGAAGGCTGGCTGTAAAATAACAGCTGAACCACACAAACAAAAGGAGCAGTGATTCAGATGGGAAGTTGCTGAGGGCAGTTTAGATAAAGTTGTACCAATATCTCGCTTGGTATTAGTAATTATGTAATCTATTAGATTACAGAATTACACCTATCAAAAATTCAAACCTTGAAAAAATGTAAATAATTAGTCTCTAATGCTGAAAACAATGATGTGGACACATATAAGTGTAAGATCATCTTTACCTTGGATACAAAGCACTCTGCTATGGCCACAGGGTCTGCATTGCACTTCTCAAGATCATGAAGAAGGTCCCTGAAACAAACATCACAAATAAGATATCTGATTTAACATTTTACGACCTGCTTTCTATTCTACCTTTCCCTTCTGAATAAAAACGGAGTCCCAACAATCGCTGTGGATTCTAGGCTCAAGAGTCACTCTGAGCACAAAATTTGGGTCTTACGGCACTCAGCCCTGAACAAAAAGGAAACTTCCGTGAATTCCTATAGCCAGCTCCCATGTGTAGCTGTGTATGTGTGTATAAGAGCACGCAGTGGAAAAAGGCTGCTGCTGAAGTTATTGTTTCGTGGCTAAAGCGTGAGGTCATTGTGACCAACTTAAACTTACTGTTATGCTTCCTTTTATTGGCTGGTTTGTCTGAGTGCAGCTGCAGAGAAATGAATAGGTGGGAGAAAATGTCTGTCTCCAGATTACCATAAATGATGCTCAACTAGCCACATCTTCTGGAAATAGAAGTCAGAAGCACACAGTTTGAAGAGGTATGGGAAGAGGAAAACACACACCTGGCTGCCACTGGAAATAAACAAGGTGCTCAGCCCAGTTGTGCAATTAGTGCAAACTCATTGTTTGAGTCTGGGTGTGTTTTTAAGCAACTGTTGTTTTCACATTTGGATTCTGATGCCAGTCTTAACCAGGTTTCATGTTGCCCAATATCTTTAGTTTATTAGCACTGTCATGGGGGCGAGGGGTAATCGTGTGTTACTTCTTGACAGAGATTACATTTAGACATTTTAAATTTTGTAAATTGTAAATGTGTATGTAAATTGAATGCTTTACAGTAAGGGGTCTGATGTTGTCCTTTCGGCAGTTCCCTTCTTCAGTGGTCGCCAGAGCGAGTGAACTCGCATGAAAGATTTGGGAATTGTGTTGCTCAGGATGCCCTTCCTGATGCAATCTGGGCTCGGACTCGCAGCCTCAGGATTAGAAGACATTGATACTGACACTGACAGGCTGAGCTACCGCAGTCTGACACTGTGCCTCATTCATGTGCAAAACAACCACTTACTGAGACATCTGGAATAAACAGATTTCTAATATAATCAATAAAATTTCACTTCAGCTTCGTGAAAACATCTTTTAGTATGCAGCTCTGGGTATGTGGTACCTGTTGAAGTGATAGATGTCACGGATGTTGCCAAAAAGTGAACCTTTATCCTCAGAGCTCAAGGCCAGTCGAGACTGATTACTGATGCACTCCAAGTAGTCCTGCAGAGACAAAAATATAAGTCAGGTTACAACGTGTATAAATTTTAGGGCTGACATCAAACTTTACTTACCTCGACTTTACTCTGTGTTGAACAAATAATAAATCACAATATGATAAAAGTCCACACGAACTACATCTTTTTAGAAAATGTTAGAAGTGATTCATCCTTGGAGTTCCTTCAGCATCTAAACAGATTATTATGGCAGCTTTTAAGTTTGCTTTCACCCCTCACCTTCTTTATTTATATGCTTCACGTTCGGAAGAAGAATTTTTGTTATCTTCAAACCAAAGTGTGTGGGAAAGACTAAAATATAAAATAAGCCTCAGAAAGCAATTCTCAACACTCATTAGCCCTTTTTTAACAAAAAAAAAAATGGATCCCACTGTTTCTGTTTTGTGTAAACTGCTTGATGAGACTGCAGACCATGAGGTTTGTTGCAGTTCTAAAGTAGCTTTAAAGTAGCTTTAAAGTTGCGGAGAAACCGATTTGAAAAGCTGAAAAACAGGAGATTTAACTCACTATCTTAATGCTTGAATAACATCTGTTACTGATGCATGCTGATATGACTGTAGATAGCGACTAAACAAAACCTCAGGTATCCGTCTGCCCTGCAAAACAAGTGAAAGGTGGACGAGCAGATGTGAGAAAGATTGTTTTGGATTATGTGTGTGTAGGTGGCATTTAGACAAACGTTCTTGTTTTACTGCAAGATAATCTGAACTGCTGGCTGCGCAACACTAAAATTTGATGCTTCATGAATAAAATCAACAAACTGATCCCCATGAAAATGACGATCCTCCTGTGCAACGTCTTTGTATTTTAAGACAGGCAAAGATGGCACAAATATAACCAGGCTCGAAGGGATCACACACACCATCTGCCTTTATTCTCCCTTTTATTAAATGTCTCCTGCTTGTCTGACTCAACCAGAACTCTGATGGTATCTGTTCCTGCAGGCGAGCAAAAGCTGCCAACCTGACCAAAAATGCAATTACCGGTAGTGTGTGTACACACACACTCAGATGCACACACGATTCAAATTATGCTTATTTCAGGATTATTTTTCAGGGAATGAAAGTGTTCTAATGGCAGCTCAATAAAGTTTCAAACCAGCCTGAAAGTGGGCATATCCAAGAGCACCAGGCTGTCCTCAACATGCACAAACACACCCTGCAATCATTTCATCACCTGCAACATTTAAGCTACAAAAAAAAAAAGGGGCAGAGACATATTCCATATTGACTCTCTTCAGTTTGTTTTCTTTATGTTCAGTCTTCTGGTTCAGTTTTATATTGTTTAATTTATCCATTATCATTAGTAGCCAAGACGCAGAAAGAAAAAAATGTTTTCTTTACTCAGTACAACCTTCCACATCAAAAATATGTTATTATTAGCACAAATTAGCCAATTAGCTATGGTGTGTTCACTGACCAGAAAAACAACAAATCAAACTTTTGAGCATCAGATTGACCAGTCAAGTCAGTCAAACCCAAAACTGTCAAAGTCTGGTTATGAAATAATTATTCGGCGCATCTCCTCTTAGTATATTTGCAAAAGCCAGTTTTTGTTTCTCCCACCTGGTCAGGGGTTAAAGAGACAAAATGTCAAGATTCAAGGGTTTGAGTTACAGAAGGAAACAATGACAGTCCTGCCTACAGGCAGACTGGTGGTTATGTTCTGGGTCAGATCAGGAGGTCATGTTTTGAGTTTGTTGACTATAGGTTGTATTATGTAAGGTGATGCTTTATTAGGCGCAGGGTCAAAGATCTGACCCGGCCTGACCTGCTCACTCATCACACTCAGCCTCAGTGAGCTCAGTGCTGGGAGCAGCCCATGCACTCACCTCAAGGTTCACTCCTACTAAAAGCATCAGACATAACAGGTACAAACCTGAAACTTTCATGTGTTAAGCATTAACCTCAAGCGGTCTTTCCCTAAAACATAACCGTAACACGACACTGCAGTAGGAAGCGTTTACTCCAGATAATGCAAAGTGCAAACAACCAAATCTCACTCCTTGAGTATTTCCACAGACCAGCTGATGTTTTCAGATTGTTTCTAAATTTGTGTTCAACTTCAAATGACCTGTTTATGCAGTCCAGTTATAAAAGCAGAAAGGAAGATTGGAAAGGAAGTTCAGTCTTCTCGATGCCATCTAGATGATGGATTAATAAGCTCATTAAACACAGACACAAAAACACACCAAATACACAAAGGAGTAAGAGGCCTAAAGAGATCATTGTACAGTGGGTAAAGAAAGCACATGCAAAGCAAGAAAAGTCAAATTAAACCTCAAAGTGCAGTAGATATATATATAAAAAAAAAACATGTAAAGTAAGCAAACACAACAACAATGCTGCTGACAGATGATACACAGGTGAACTCAGGGGAGTCTGGGTAAATATTTGTAAGGGCTGTCGCACCTTTTTCCCTGCAGGAAGCAGCTCGAGCAGAAACACAGGACAACTCACACAGAACCGTTCTGATAATAAATGGGTCAATGCTGTGCATGTAAAAGCCCTGTTCTTAGCTACAATCAGTGCAATCTATCTCTGCTGTACTCACTGGAACCGGCATTAGAGAAGAAGTTCAGAAAGACTAAAGGCAGTTTTTTTCCCCCCCCAAAGATCTGGTTCTGCCATGTAAGAGAGACTGTCCAAATGCTGGGTGGTCTGGTTCGCTAATGGCTTTAGGTGGTTTGTAGAGAAAGAGCAGGTTAGCTCCTACGCGTTCCCCAATGTTTTTCTAACCTAAATTAGATATTTCTTGTCTTTGACCTAAAATCCTTTTCAGATTTCCTCTCTATTGAATGTCCTAAAGGAGAGACAAAGGAGAATGTGATGCATTAGTCAAGAAGGGCGACACGTACTGTAACTATAAGAAAAAAAACTTGCCTCTTCTACTCACAATTCTGTTTTTGAGAACATGAATTTTGCTAATGCTACTTTTTGATTTCAAGTTTTCAAATGCAAATAAGAAAGATTCGTACACAGTGGTTCATCATCCCAGGATGGAGCGTGGAAGCAAGGCAGAAAAAAAAGGGGGGTAAAGGTCAAACAATGAGTCTGTTCCTGCAAAAACTTTTTGTCATTTCTAACCACAGCCCATTTCAATCAAACTGCACAATGCACAGGTAGGACCCGTAATGTGTGCCTCATGTATGCATTTCAGCTCTTTAAATTTCACAGGGTACAGACGAAAGAGCTGAACAGGGAAACAAAAGGAGAAAAGAGAGCGAGCTTTGATGCAAACCACTACACCCAGCCCTCAACAAAGCCACTCAAAGCATGGACCAGAGGCAATGTGTGTTCTTGTAGTTCAAAGCCAACATCACAGAATGAGCACGTTTGCTCGAGTGTGCGTGTAGCAAATGTGTGCCTGTGAATGCAGGACAAAGGCGCTGGTGTCATGTAACTTGACCAAACCCCAGCCTCGGGCCAATATCTGGATTCCCAGCAGGTAATTAGCAGCACAGTTCACATGAAATATATACAAACAAAAAGGATGTGACTTTATCTAAAGGTTAGGTGTTATCTTTCTCCCTAAAACAGACAAGGTCAGGACTGCACACTTTTAATGATGGGTTAGGGTCATGACAAGGAGACATTTCACAGCAATGTTTCTTTTTTCATTTCCAAGAAAAAAAATGAGGTCTTGGAAAGGAGAAACTACATACTCTAATTTCAATTACCTCATTACCTTATTGTATGGAAGCAGTGGCTCCCATTCTTGGAATCATGTAATTTTTAAGAGTGAAAGATGGGCTTTACATTAAACTGGTCAGAATCAATGGGATGAGGAGTGCACTTCTGAAATATTTGCTCTTTACCTGAATAATATACTATTCATGTCTTTGAATTCCCTTATTACCATTTCAAAATAAGATATTGCGCCTTTTGTTACACTGTATGTAACAAAATGGATGTGCAATGGATGAAAAGTTTTCACAACTTCTCCAAACCTCAGATATTGGGACAATGTGCTTATAAATCAACTGGAGTGCAAACCACTGGGTCTAGCTGTAGCTGGCATCTTTACAATCATTACTAGAGCACTGTTCTTTTAAATAACTCTAAACTACTAAAGGGTTGCATTTACACAAACTCTTTATTTCTGATATATTATTTATAATCCTTTAGATTTTAGCTCCATACCTCTACTATGCTGCGCAGGTCCTGAACATAGGTTCTCTCTGTATCCATAATCTCTTGTACAACCCGGTCCACATACGTCCTGGGGCCCTGCACAGAGCCCATCCTCTCTCCTCCTTCTGGCCTCTGCTCAGGCTCTGAATGCTCTGTTACAGTCTGTCTGTTGCTCCCTCGGCCTCCTCCATCATTTCTGTCGTCTTTCTCTTCACATCCCAGTTGCCTCGCGGGGACCAGCTCCAGCCGAATTGCCCCAGAGTAACGGTCCAAGGTGATGGGGTTACAGTGAGGGGCTGCAACAAGCGTGGATCGGCTGCCAAGTGAGCAGTGACTGTCCCGGGAGGAGGCAGAGGAGGACGTGGAGCTGTAGCTGATGGGTCGCTCCACGCTGTCAGGAGAGGAGTCCATGCTGATGGCAGAGCAGTAGCGTGAGGCGGTGTGACGGAAGGCCGGGTTGCGAAGGCAGCGGGCTTGGATGTCAACGGAGCTCAGGACTGACCCAGAGTCCGGGACTTCAGGAAGAGGAGGTAACACATCAGGCAGGTAGCTATAGTCGTCTAAAAACAAAAGACAAGAAAAGCCTCTTATTAGCACAATTTATTTCAACATTTAAGTTTAAAGTTAAGGTTGCACTAGGTCTTGGAATTGCAGATAAATACATTTAAAAAGAAAATCTGCCAACCACAAATGCTAAAATCCAGAAGAAAAACTGTAAAAGACCTTCAGAACCCTGCACAGCTACTGATCAAGACCACTTGAAGGGATTTTTCAAAAGTCTGGCTCCTTAAGGCTATAAAATGAGGGAAGACTCAAAACATTTTTACAATATTGCTTTTCTACATAATGGTTTATGTTTAGTAAGTATGCAAAGTTCATGCTGTCACAAAATTCTAGATTGCACACCATCAACCACAGAGGGACACATCAAACCCATTTGAACTGATAAGGATTTGAGAACACAAACTGCCTTAGAAATTGTTAGTGCGGTCAACAATCACGTGAGATTTAAGATAATTTTTCTGTCAACTTTGGCGTGTTTTAGGTATTTGCATGGCCTTCTTATTAAAACCATACTCTACATTTGCCCGTTAGGTTTGAAAATAGACTGCATTAAACTTTTAACTTTCCTTTTTACTAATCTGTTGCAACATGCCCGCACCAGTTTAGCTCCACATTTTGGAGTCATATTAGTTTTTGGTTGACTGCACCTCAAAAAGTTTTTACCTGTTAAACGTTTGAGCAGCTGTTACTCCACGTTTGTACTTTATTAATAATTTATATACACGTTTGAGCTAAAACATAAATACAAAACATGACTGAAAATGTTTTATGATTATTGGTAGGTCAATTTTCCCTAAAAAAAAAAAGTCTAAAATAGTTACCGGTACTAATAATTGTGCAGTCCTTACTGCATCAGACTACACAGAGTAGAAAGTCTACAACACACACAAAAAAATGAATGATATATCAATGCAGAAAGCAGTCACAGGAAAAGAAGATGTTAAAATGCAAATTGAAGGGAATAAGCATGAATGTTAAAAAGGTTTCCTGTAACTGCAAACACAATACCACTTTCATATTCTTACAGTCTCCATCTGTTTAACATCCTAATTCCTGACATTCTTGCTGACCACAGTTTGACAACTTGCCATGTGAGGGCTCCTCATAGATTTGTCCTCAATTTCACCCAAAATGTGTTTTTCCTCACAAAAGCAGATGGAAGAAACATATCTGACTACAAGAAACCTTTAAATTACATGTTTAAGTTGTGTTGTGTATTGACTCTTTATGCAGAGAGAACTCCGAGTTATGAATGAAAGCTCTATTGCTACGCAAGACAGACAGGTTTTTGTGCCCCTAGTCTCTCCTGCATTCAATCTGTCTCAAACAGACTCACAACCTGGTCTGCGTGCAGAAATCCATTAAGATATGATTACCAGCCTCAAAGGCCTCACAGTCAGTCCAGCTGTAGTAAAACCAAACATGGACCAGGCTTCCAAGTTCCCTTTAACACTTCCTAAGGTTCATTTCACACAGTCTTTGATAAGAACAGTAAGCAAACAAGAATAGACATGAGACGAAAAGCAGCAGACAGCTTCATACCATCACAGTAGGAGTTTAACACCAGTCTTGCTCATCAAAGCTAGGCCCACCGGTGCACCAGCAGCTGCCATGTTGTGGCAACGTTGATGTCCAGGGATTTTTAGAACAGCAAGACTTCCTCAGCCAGCAGCACCAGCTCATCCTCAACCTTTCATCGAAGTTTCACAAGTTCAGGATGAAAAACACGAAATGTGAGACTGAGAACATGGTCAAAGACCGACTCACTCCCCCCTTCAAACAGGTGTCTTGCACCTCTTTGGAGAGCTGGCATTCTTAAGACTCCTCAGGGATAAGAGGAACACAGGTTAGATTCTGGCAACTACTCCGGTATTATGTACAAAATGGGAAACTTAGCCTGAGTATTAGTTCTCAACAGACTAACCTGGTTAAATAAATGTCAAATAAATAACATGAACAAGCAGAAGCTCTTTGTTGGAATCTGGGCCTTAAAGAAACTTGTCCAGATGACATGATTTAACCTTTATCGTTTTTATCTACATGGATGACTGAGGTTACAAACCTTTAGTTAATTTGAGCCTTTTGCAGAAAGCTTCTCCACAATATTTTTCTGTTTGCTTCTAGAAATTCTTTGTTTTTATTCCACAAAGAGTCAATCACAAAAGTGCACATATCATTTTTTTTGTTTGAGAAAGCTCATAAAGAGGACCAAAGTTTTGTAATGTTGGAAAAATAGCTAAGTTTGGTGACAAATTTTAATTTGTGACCATTTTCATAGTATAAATTTATTCTTCAAAGATGGATAAAACACAGTACTTATTTACCTTCTTGTTGCTAAAAAGTGTTGATCAAATTTAAATATAAAATGGAGCCAATTTCCTCCTGCATTACTCCTCAGAAGGAGTCAGACGTTCTGAAAAACACATGATGTAACAACACTGCCTGGCCAAAAAAAAAAGTCGCCACCAAAAAAAAAGGTCACACACTAATATTTCGTTGGACCGCCTTTAGCTTTGATTACATCATGCATTCACTGTGACATTGTTTCAATAAGCTTCTGCAATGTCACAAGCTCTATTTCCATCCAGTGTTGCATTAATTTTTCACCAAGATCTTGCATTGATGGGCACTATAGGCATGATGGGTGCATCACTTCAACTGCCTCTCTTCTTACCCTGATGCACCCATCACGCTGGAACAGAGTAAATCTGGAATCATCAGACAACATGACCTTCCATTGCTCCAGAGTCCAATCTTTATGCTCTCTAGCAAATTGAAGCCTTTTTTTTCCAAGTTACCCTCACTGATTAGTGGTTTTCTTAAGGCTACACAGCTGTTCAGTCCCAATCCCTTGAATTCCTTCACATTGTGTGTGTGGAAATGCTCTTACTTTCACTATTAAACACAGCCCTGAGTTCTACCGCTGTTTTTCTTTGATTTGATTTCATCAAACGATTAAGTGATCGCGATCACAATCAATCAGGATTTTTTTTCCGGCCACATTTCTTCCTCGAAGACGATGGGTCCCCGCTATCCTTCCAGTTTTTAATAATGCGCTGGACAGTTCTTAACCCAATTTTAGTAGTTTCTGCAATCTCCTTTGATGTTTTCTCTGCTTGATGCATGTCGATGATTTGACCCTTCTCCAACAGACAGCTTTTTCCACGACCACGGGATGTGTCTTTCAACATGGTTGTTTAAGAAATGAGAAGCAACTCATTGCACCAGTTGGGTTAAATAACTTGTTGCCAGCTGAAAGATAATCACCCATGCAGTAATTATCCAATAGGAGGCTCGTACCTGTTTGCTTAGTTAAATCCAGGTGGCATTTTTTTTTTTTTTTGGCTAGGCAGTGTATAAAGACAACATCTGAAGCATTGCATTGTAGCTTTATCTACGATAAATTTGAATTTTGCTTTGCTGATCACAAAAGAACCAAAACATCCAAAAGCCAAAAAAAGCATGAACCAGCATTCCCCCCAGAAAATTCTGGAAATGATTCACTGCATGTTTGTGTGATTCAATCCTAACATTTGCAGTCCCAGACTTGACCCAATTTTTAATAATTAAAGACCAGAGCAGGGAAGGAATCTGCTGAGTACAACAAACAGCACACACATAAACCAACAAACACAGCTTTTCAACAAGTCACACTCTGCTTTCACACACACACAATGCACAAAGGATTGTATTACATTACAAACCATGACATGAACAGGTAACTGCCCATTTCCATTGATCTTAAACAAATCTTCCTTATCAAAATATTACCAGTCCATGTGTATGTTTCACACAAAATGAATTGTGTTTATCACTCCAAAGATAAGACTAACAAAGTTAATTACTTAACGGTCTTATCTCTACTGCAGCCAGATATAGGTGGGCAGAGTGCACAAATGTGCAACCTGCACACACCAACGTACAAGGAGAGCAAACACGAATCCCAAACATCACAGAAAGGTTTCCCCTTCTTGTGTTTGCCCAGCCCCTCCTTCCCACCTCCCAGCTTCATGTTTGGGGCACACCCTGTCCGTTTCCTGGGTGAACTGGCTCTTTTCTCTTTCTCGCTTACATCAACAACCCCCTTCTTAGGACCCGCATACACAAGCAAAAAGTGAAGATCAAGCTTTAGTTACCTGCTGTCCAGATTATGTTCAACCTGATCCTTGTAAATGAACTTTAATTATGGTCTTAAGCATGCAGGCTTGAACTCTTCTTCCTCTGTGCATGTCTCTGTGTGTTGATTGTCTCTATGTGTGCACGTGAGAGATTAGGATGCTTTTTTTTTTTTGCCAGAAGAAGGAGATAGCATGAATATAAGCAAGTGTCCGAGCAACCTGGCCTAAATCTCTGGAGAAAGGATTTCATTAGTTCAGCATCAGGCCTGGCTGAAAGGAAAACAGTGAGAGCCTGAGGGAGCAGGACTGGAGGCAATAAGGTCGTTTTCACACCTGATAGTCCGGTAGACTCGGTTCGGTTCGGGACCAATATTCATGACCTTTTGTTTACATTTGAGCTGGTGCATTTGCATTCACACTGCACTGTGCAGTCGAGTCAACCTGTTGAACCAACCTATTCCCCCACTCGCCTGTGGGGGCGCTGCACCAAGAACTACTGAAAGAAACGACACAAAAACCTCTGAAGACACGTCTTCTTCTTCTTCTGTAAATAAAAATAAAAACGAAATGGCATCAAGTTTTAGCAGTTTTAGGAGTTATATTTTGTCATTTTTCAAAAATGGACTTAGTATGAGCAGAAGATGAGACAGAAGACCACGGAGAATATTGTTTTTCCACACAAGGCAGCTGACGGCTCCATATAAGGTCAGAGAAATGTGTGTTTGTTTGTCCTGTGGAGCGGGGTCCGGTTTGTTT